ATTAACCAGTGAAACAGTCTGCCTTCAGAAGTTATGGATGCTTCATCACTTTTAAGAAGAGAGTAGACAGCCACTTGTCTGGATTGGTATAGGGACTCTTACTTGAGCAGAAGGTTGGACTAGAAGACCTCTGTTGAAAGAAAAATCTTCATCAGGGTCCAGTCCAAGCCGGGAATAAACAAAATGGAGGCTGTTTGGAAAGAACGTTCTTTATTGAGTTGCAGAACCAAGCAGAAATGTGGCTTTGGAGCAGCTGACCACATGGTGCTGGGAGTGGTGGGTTTTTATATACCTTCTTGGGCTTTTGTGTTCAGGGAGTTGTTCTTGTTCCTGTGGCATGAACTTTGATCTGAGGTTCAGTGTTAATCTTATTATGTCCTAAAAGTCATGTCCTGCTTCCCTGGAGCTGTGGCTGATAGCTATGATCTGTGTTGGATTTTTGAGTGAGGGATTGCTGGTTCTAATTTTATCACTCTGATATTGTTAGCTATCAAATCTTGCTGCAAGGGACTTCAAAAGATCCTTTCTTGAATGGGTTTCTGCAGGTACTATTTGCTCATGAATGGGACTGAATGGGATTATCAGATCTGCATTTCTACAGAGCTGGCCTGCTCAGTTTCTATTTGGGACTATTAAGAAAAACTGGACCTGCTTTTCGGCCTTTAAGATCCTTTGGAGAAATATAATATTCTGTCTTTTTAATAACCCCAAAATACTTCTTTCTCTGGGAGGGTTGACTTCCCACACCTTCAAGGTCTCTTCAAACTCTTTGTTTACAGACAATACTGTCTGTCAATAAAGGCCAATTCTGTTATTCTGCCTGTATATATATATATGCTATTACCTATGTATTATGCGATTACCTAAGTGGCAGCGGTAATAGCTAAAAAGCTACTGCAAACTAAGTCTTAAATCGGCTTAGAAATACATGGCCTATAGGCTAGATGTGGAAATGAAAAGAACCTCCTAGAAGGAAGCAATTGCTGCTAAGAAAACTAGTAGGAATCATGCTTAAGACCTGGGAAACTTAATGAGATATAAACAAATACAAACATACAGAGTACAGAGAAGAGCAACAAAGATGATTAGGGGACTGGAGGCCAAAGCATATAAGGAAAGGATGCTGGAATTAGATATGTCTAGTTTAATGAAGAGAAGGACGAAGGGGGACATGATAGCAGTATTCCAATATCTCAGGGGCTGCCACAAAGAAGAGGAACTCAAGCTATTCTCCAAAGTGCCTGAAAGCAGGGCAAGAAGCAACGGATGGAAACTAATCAAAGAGAGAAGTAACCTAGAACTAAGGAGAAACTTCCTGATAGTTAGAGCAATTAGCCAGTGGAACAACCTGCCTCCAGAAGCAGTGAATGCTCCAATACTGGAAGTTTTTAAGAAGAGACTGGACAGTCATTTGTCTGAAATGGTATAGGATTTCCTACCTGAGCAGGGAATTGGACTAGATGACCTCCAAGGTCCCTTCCAACTTTATTATTATTATTATTATGGATCATCGCACAGTCAGCCAGATGTTCAGACTGGATTTGGCATTTTGTCTGCCTATCGAGTCCTTACCCAGGACCTGGGATAGGCAGATGTGGATGTTTGATGGTATTACAGATATCGTCGCAGGATGGAAGCAGTTCCTAATAAGGCCGCCTTTTGCAATTGACTAATAGGGAATTTGTCAATGCCAATGGTGTTCAAGTGGTGCTCCAGTTGTTTTGGGATTGCACTATTATTATTATTATTATTATTATTATTATTATTATTATTATTTGATTTGTTTTGAAGATTTGATCATATTCTGTGCCTGTTCTCCTATGATTGGAAGTCCCTGTATTTCTCAGTAATAATGCAATGATTCTTCATATTTCTTCAGTTTCATTCAAATTCCAATCTTTTTTTCTTTAGCAAAGTATACTAATGAATAGAAATGTTACAACAAGAATAGAAGTCTTGTGTTTTTTCTGCATCATGCATCATCCATTTTAATTAGAGGAAAGAGTAGTGAGTATAGTGACAAGAGTGTGGAATTAAAATCATTAATTGATGTCAAGCTGAAGAGAGACTGCTAACATGAATTTAGTGACAGCAGGAAGGAAATTAACCTTATTACTTTATTTAGAGCATCCGTTTATTTAATATTTTGTCTATGTAAATGCAAAGTGTTTTATTTATGACAATGGCAAAGGACAAATAATTCAATAAACTGTGAATATTTATTATTTCAAAGCAATGAATCTTAGAAATTATACATTTTGAAAACATACATTAAAGTTAAGAAATACATAACTTAATGTGCTTAATTTTTTTTTATTTTCCAAATGATAAGGATTAACACTGATTCAGTTTGTTTTTAGTTGCTTTATATATGAAGGAAACCACGTGATGCAGATATACATCAAATGATTCTCCTCTCATTATAACACGGATAGTAACAAATAGCTAGCTAACATCTTTCTTCTAGTTTTATGTATAGAGGTAAAAGAGAAGGCTGATTATGTTCAATGTCAGTGAAAATTGAAGAACAACTAATAGTTAATGTAATAAAACTTGTTCTTAAAAAAAGACAATAGTACCACTTTTCAGATAGTTGCTGAGCCAAGATGTCATGATAAAAGAATAGAATTCTGTCTGTCAACAAAAGCCACCTGGAACTATGAAAGCATCAAATGTGGAATCAAGAGCATCAGCAGCAAGACGCCTTGTGTATTTGTAGAATGTTCAAGGAATTGGAGTTCGTTTAGAAATTTCTCAGTCTGGGAAATCTGCATTTAATTCCTGTGAAGCAAAATATTTTCATAGTTTTTATGGTCCAGATAAGAGTTGATAGTAGAAAGAAATCTATTGTAGTTGTTAAACTACTGAAATTTAAAGGATGAATTTGCTGAATTCATTCAACACACATTAATTAAAAATTGCGAGCCCAAAATATGAGCAAACATATTGACCAGAATTAAGAAAAATGTTGAAGTTCAATTAGAGTGACTATCTAGAATTTCAGATCTCATGGGGAATAAAAAGAGATACAGGTAGTCCTCAAGTTATAGCAGTTCATTTAGTGACTGTTCAGAGTTACAACAGCACTAAAAAAAAGTGACTTATGATCATTTTTCATGATCAAAATCCAGACACTGGGCAGCTGACTCATATTTATGATGGTTACAGAATCAGGGGTCATGTAATCATCTTTTGCAACCTTCCGACAAGCAAAGTCAATTGGGGAAGCCAGACTCACTTAACAGTTAGTGTCACTCACTTAACAACTGGAGTGATTCACTTAACAATTATGGCAAGAAAGGTAGTAAAATGGACTTAACAAATGTCTTACTTAGCAACAAAAATTATGGGCTCAGTTGTGGTTGAATTGAGGACTACGTGTATATTATTTTTAATATAATCATATTTATCTACTATTACTGCTAGCAGTTTTGTGTAATATAATTATGAAAATTAAAAATATAACATGGATTCAGCTGTTTGGAAGCCATAAATATTCCTAATGTTAATCATGGCCAGGTCTTCTAGGCTGTGAACTCAGCCTTTGATTTATGGAGAGAGCAGTGTAGCCTAGTAACTTGAGAAGGAATCTATCTGGTGCCTTTTTTGGGACATCAATTTGTAGTGAGACAACACTTTGAAGATAGATGTGAAAAAGTGGAATAGAGTTAAATAGGAATTGTAAAGGATTTAAGGAAACATGTCACAGTATAAGGGATTAATTTAATGATAATTTGGCTAGTAACCAAGAAAGATGCATTGCTGTCTTGAAATAGGGTAAAAATGGCCATCCATCAACATATACAATTTCAGTGAACCAAAAGAATTATCTAGTTGCCTTTCCTTTAGTGATATGTTTACTGACCAATTAGGAATTAATTTTATACAAATCAGAAAGGAGCCAAGTTTGAGAATTCTCCTGATGACAGACATATAAGGGGAAATCCATACTGTATAAATCTCAGCTCTTCTCAATAGCTTAACTGATATCCTTTTTTCCTACAAGAAAATAATTGTAAAACATGATTACACTTATAGTTGTATATTAAGGTTTTGGAAGGAATTAAAACAAAGGTGTTTTGATTTCCCAAACTATTTGGAAAAGAACCTTTAAAGCACATTACACTATAAAAATCCATTTTTATACAATTTAGGTAGACAATAATGTACTTTATAATTTTGACATTCAGTTAAAGCTGCTACATCCAACCATACAAAGTTTTATATTAGTATAATATTATAGTGAGATAATTTTAATTTGATATTTAATAATTTCCCTGAGCAGACGTAGACTGACTCAATGTTGGTCCTTTCAGGACTTTACTTCATTATAGGTGACATTGAATAACATGTTTATATAATCAATGAATGAGTGACACTCTTTTCCATGATTCAGTTGAAAATTGTCTATGTAAATGAGATCAATAGAATTGGAATTAGAATTCTCGATAAAAACCATACAATAGGGCAGCTGAAAGATTTGAAAGAATCTGAATGGTTAAAGAGCAGAATTAGAGTAAAAATGAGATAAAGTTATAAGCATATCCTTTTAATAAAATGATTGTGGCAACCATAGAGATATAGTGTGATATAGTGTGGAATACATAATGATGCAAACAGAAATGATTAATAATTACTATGTGAAATGGTCTCAAAGCTCTTATAACATTATGATTCATGTCCACATAATATGGGAAAAATATTCAAGGGTACTTGCATTAAAGCAATCTAGTTAAAAACAAATCTTGTATTCAGTAATCCAATGGCTTGTTTAGTTATAATTAGGCAAAGTAATACCGATATAGTTATATGCAAATCTGGCAAAACATCTATCATGTCTATTATATTAATTTTTCTGATAAAATCCCAATGTATTTCAATATTTAAGTATTTGATCCTTAAGCTGGTTTTTTTTAACTTAAATTTTAGTTACCCATGAATTGCAATTATTTTCCCACCCGATTTTCAAACTTATTTCTAGCTTTATTTCTCATTTCCAGGATACAAGCCAAGACCCGAGAGTTTCGTGAAAGACAAGCCCGGGAACGAGATTATGTTGAGATCCATGATTTAAACAGGACTTATGCATGTGATGCTGACTCAATGTATGCTGGAATTCCTTCATATTCCTCCATGAGTAGCAGCACAATTAGCAGTAGACCACAGAGCCCAGGGGAAGCATCGACAATAGAAGCATTATATGCCCAAGTAAAGAAAGGACGCAATTCAAAATCTTCACCTGCAGACAGGTAGGCACCAAATCAAACTTCAGTCAATATTCTGCTTCCAATGTCTGGTTTGTAAATTTTCATTATTATTCTTGGCCATGGGAGGTGACTGTTTGTCAGCTGTAAAGCCAGAACTACATTTTATTAATGGATTTTTAAAAGGTTTATAGGGAAAGATATTGAATTTACACAAATCAAGTCATAATGGAATGAGCAGTATGATCTTTTCAGTTGATTTTAACACAGCTCATTATCTTCTGGAAGTGCTTTTAGATTCAAATTGTGCTATTTAGCATAATTCAGGTTAAAGTCACATTTGGCTTAGCCTCTGCTAATTCAGCATCAGACATCCTAGAAATATACTGAGGTGTTTATGAGCATTTTTGTTACTGATTTTCTGGAAGGTGTTGGAATCTGTATTGGTTCCAGAATTGGTTAGGCTCTTCTTTGGTCATCAGAACTAGGAATCAACAGGCACAAACTAAGAATCGTTGTCAGCCCTTTGGCTGCTTCACCCGTTTTAAATTGAAAAGTTTGGAGCTTGAGTAAGGCATATTCTTAGAACACATAATGCCCAGCTTAATATGTTGGTCTTTTTAACTCTAATAATGTACTGCTGACAGGCAATCTTCTCTGATTTAATTTGATGTATGTTTTTAGATTGTTTGCCCTAGTAACAGAACACAACATTCTGGAGATAAATTTTCTATCTTGGCTGGTGAAATATTAAACTGAAATGTTAAGATGATAAATTCCTAAATGTTTTTTTATTATTAGCCTTTTATTATTTCTAGTATCATTAGCATTAGGCCTATATATGTTGCAATTGCATTAATCTTCTGCTGGGTTCCAATCTAACTGGTCACATTTGGTCACCTTGAGCATTTGGTTTGATCCAACATGGTTCTTATTCCACTGGTCCTTAAAAAAAGTTATCATATGATTGTGACGTATCTAAGAAATAAATAAAAGAGAATAAATTTCGATACCCAGAATTTTCAATATTGGAATTGCAGCCTATGAATCAGCACCTATAAATGAGAAAAGGATAATCTAGAATGAAATGCAAAATAATTAAGTGCAGAAAAATAGTGGAAAAATATGAAAAATTAAGAAGGAGATAGAGAATCTGCTGTTGCAGCTTTGAAAGAAATTGAAAGTCTGTTCTCATCTGCAGTGCTGGAGGTTGTCCACCTTATGTAGTTGAGAGGTAAAAATTTATGCTTTACATGCCCAAAGTTCTTAATTCAGTCCTAGATTTCCAGTGAAAGATTAATAGTGGTAGGAAAATATCTGACACTTTGAATAACTGCTTTTATTGATAGAGTTATATGAGCCAGTGACCTGGTGGCATAAAATGAATTTATATTGTTATGAGATTAAGACAAACAGTTCACTCTGCTCAGTATCTGGTCTTTGTAGGGGAAATGGCATTATTTCTTAATAATGTATCAGAATATCATTCCAAATATTCTGTAGACAAAATCAGTTGGCAATAATATTTTCCAAAATCCAAACTTGTATTCAGCCTTTCATGGCCAGCATTAATCTGCTTTCTTTTCCTATTATTCTTGATGTAAAAAGGCAGAGAGGTTCCACTCACTAAGAAAGAGGTTATAATGTTTAATGTAGAGCACAGTATTCTAGAGATATGTGTGAAACATTTGGACCAAAGATATCTTTCAAGATTTTCATCTCAACAAAACAAAAGGGAATTCTATGCAGAGGACAGACCTCTACTAACAAAACCTGTTACACCTTTCCAGATTTCCAACTGTTGTCCTATGTGCGTGATAACAAATATTTGGTTTATTTTAATTTATGTATGCATTGCATCATTTCAGTAGTGGTTCTAGTGGTTCTAAAAATTCAGAAGACCTCTTAAAATACCTTTGGGAGAACCTCCCCTTATACTACATGAGTATGGGAAAAGGGAAATAGAGAGCTGGATGGAATTTTTTTTTTCTTCTGTCATACCAAATAATTTCTAGGGAGTTACATTCCTATAACAAATATTTTTATACAAGCTAATAAATGGATATGTGGGCCTGGTTTCATTTTTTTTCTTTTAGACCACAGTGATATTACATAACATGTGATATACATATACCAACTTTTGTGTGTGTATGTATGTGTATGTGTAACCTAACATATAAAGATAATTCCATGAAAGGACAGCTGCTAAAGGACATTTACAGGCTATTGCTATGACATCACTTCCCACCAAAGAGTGCATTGTCTTCAGAAGGAATTTAAAGGAAAGAGGCATTGTGCTGCTTAAGACTTAATGGCTTCAAAATAGTAGGGTAGAATCCCACAACTTGCACTGGACACTATAATGGAAAAGTAAATACCATAATTATATATTTTTTTTGCATTCACTATGCCATTGAAGATACACATCAGGAAAAAACATCTTTGTGAAATGGTTCCTCTTCCATTAAAAGTGGAATCAAGTTGTATCTCACAAAAACTTAACTGAAAAAAAGAATGGTTTAAGAAGGATAGAGAGGGGACAAAATTTTTCTTATTTATTTTTAATGCACATATGATATTGATTGACATAAAAAAGTGACTGGTTAATTTTGTGTTAATTTTATTTGCAGTTTAATACAATTTCTGAAAGGAATATAATTTTGTATAATTTAGAAAAGTGCTAGGAAAGTAGTACAAGATTCATTCTGAAATATTTTTATGAAAAGGAATTTTAATAATATAAAATAATATTTTATGAATATATGATTATATCATTTCAAGTTTCAGTCATATCATATTTTTAAGGTCTAAGAGTAATTCATTGCATATATTCTAAGCTTTTTTTCAGAATACCTTAGGCTGAAAGATATGAAGAAATAACACTTTCTGCAGGTGCTAAAAAGAAATTAATTTCTTCCAGAAACAGTGTGGTTTGACATTTAGAAGCATAGAGTTAGAAGGAATCATTTAGGTCAATCAGTCCAACTCTAGCTCAATTCAGAAAGTCAAAGTATCATAAAGCTTATTTCAGCACCGTGGTAATGCATAGATTCTCAAATGGAAAAAATTCCTTGAGCTGAATTGGATAATTCTTCTGTAAATTCCTACAAAGAGCGTTAACAGGATAGGTAGTTTTCTCTCAGGATAATTAAAATGAAAGTTTTATCAATTAGTTAATGTTACTTTTTTTCTTAGATCACAAATGCAGTTCAAAGACAACTGGCTCCCCCAACTATTTTAAACGAAGTCTAGACAAGCTGTCTGAATCAATCCACTTTCTTTCCTTTAAAAACAATGTTTGACTTGAATGATGAAAAAAGCATAGTTAACACATATAAATATAACAATAACAAAATGCATACAATTTGTCTGTATGTTACCTGATTTCACAACACTATTGTAGGTTGTTCCAGCAAGTTTATAATTCTCATCATTTGAACTTTAAACATTGGATGCCAGGAAAAGCCCTTCTACTTGGATTTAATGGTAATAAGTAAAAAAAAATGATGCTTGTCTGGTCTTGAGAGAAGCAAGAATACATAGCAGTTGGTTAGAAAAAGTATTATTGGAAATACAGCTAGTCACATGGATCAGTCTTCCGTTTCCTTGAAGAAATTAGGATTCTCAGTTGATTTAAACTTATTTCACATGCACTTTAGGGCTTTTATATATTATTTTTTCCTGCTGTATGCATCATGCACCAATAACCCCTTGATCTATTCCCTGTATAGATTGATAAGATCTGTTTGCTATTCCATAAACTCAGTGTAAGGGGAACAACTAGTACCTCTAACTTTAATGGTCTTAGGTTACTACCTACTCTTCTGCCAATATGGATGCAATAGAAATCCACTTTTAATATAAATTCATGAGGATTTATGCAGAGCCCCTACTCTGAGGTATATTTGTTTTGACCCTATTCATTGTTTGGGTTATGATTTTTGAGGGGTTGGGAAAAGAAATCATAAAAAGTTTCATTTAAATGTCTTTGAGTCTCCATAACAGAACTAAGAGCTGATGTGACAGCAAGATCATCTCCAAAAACATTTTCAGCTGTGGCATTTGTTTATTATTTATTTGTTTTGTTTTTTGTTTTTTTATGTTTTAAAAGAGTTCATTTTATAATTGAAGACAGACAACTGTTGGTTTGTTTTTAGTTTTTAAAGCTATTCTTCAAGACATACTATAAATGGGAAAATGTATGAAGAGATAAGAGAGGAATGGTTTTCCCAGAGAAGGTTTAAAAACAGGAAAAGATGGGGGGGGGGGTGACATGAAGGATAGCCTACAAATGGAATAACGGAAAATCATTTAACAATCATCCTTTGTTTCAAGCTAACAATCACTCAATTCATTTTACAAATATTTTATTCAAGTGCAGCAGCTATCAACAGTATGCAAGAGAAGTTCTGTCAAATACAATTTGTTTTTAAGAAGTGAGTCAGAATTTGTCATTCTTAATGGATGCAGTGCTGTGATTGGTGTGCAGAAAAGAGAAAACCACGATGTGGAAGAAAGCAGAACTTGTTTTTCCTCAGATTTAGTAATATAGTTTTTTTAAATCTAAAACACCAGATCTGAGTGCAAAGGGATAGATATTTGTATTTGAATTTATCTGGCTGTAAATTCGAAAGTCTGGGCTATAGAAAGACATACTGTAGTTCTTCTGAAAAAATATATGTATACACAATTTGAGAATGTTCATGAAAACCGGGGATTTCTGTGAACATTTTACTCTATCTTCTAGGAAGCCAGTTTCTGTAGAACTTTCATTTTTCATCCCTAACTATTAACTCAGGTTAGAAATGAATATATAATTTCTATGTTTAGATTTCTGTTTTTGGTTATTTTGACCTGTGATGCTAAGTTTCTCAAATTTAAAATAACCCTAAAATCATATGGGCTTATTTAAAGTTGTGTCAGTTTAGCAAACAATTCACCTTTCAGTGTTCAGTGTTGGGAAAGTTATGAGATTACTTGCTTGCCTTATTTATAGTCCACTCTTCTCTTGTTAAATTAAATATATACAGGTGGTTCTCGACTTA